CCCCCCCCCCCCGCCGCCATCACACAGCAAGCCATGGCAGAGCTCACATCTAAACGCAGGCCTGTTTGACTTTGCTGCCCCTGCCCTCCTGGACCAGAACCTGTGGCCTCGTGGAACGGTCTTCCAGTCCGCATGCCTGGGCCCACCAGCTTCATCGCTGTGGTCCCACCAGCCCTCCCATGCACTGGCGCCCCCATTCATGGGGCCTTCGCACACTCTGTGCCCCATGCTGGAATGCCCCTCTCTCTCCTCATGAGCCTGGTCCCTCAGGACTCAGCTTTGTATCACCTCTGCCTTTCCCTAACCCCCTCGCTAAATCACCCCTGCTGTTCTTCATGGCTGTCTCCCCGCCTCTACCTGCTCCGGGCGGGAGGGGTGGGGGCTGGCTCCTAGAGAGCAGGGGCTGACCCTTATCCACCTAAGCATCCCCAGCACCCAGCACAGATTCGGCTCAGAGTGGGTGCTCAGGGTTTGCTGAGTGAGTGAATGACCACTACCTCCCAGCCAGTCTTCCTGCCCTCCGGCGGAGGTGAGGGCTGCTGTCTGGGCAGAAAGGGACAACAGAGGTCTCCCCAGCCCACCCTCCATTGTTCAGATGAGCAGCTGGGGCTCAAGATGAGTTGAACGGGGCCTCAAGAAGAGCTATTTCAGTCTGCCCGCGATGGCGCAACAGCGAGTAGGCCACAAATGTTTGCTGAATGAACGATTGATTGAACACATGAATGAATGAACAAGCACATGAAAATGCCTCTCACTGGGCACTGTCAGGTCCCTCTGGGGACAGAATTTTAGCTATTCCCTCACCAGGCCTTGCAGCAACTTCACTCCTGGGGCATTTGCATTTTATGAGCCAAGCCTGGGCATGTGCTACGCCTTTGAAGAGCCTCTCTCTGAAAGCCGGAGCTTCCCAGGCCAGTGGAAGTTTTCCAGAAGGCCTGGTCCAGGAGGTTGGGGGAGACTTCTCGTGATTTCCAGCTAGGTCTGCCACCCTGGTCCATCGTAACTCACAGGGGGCCTCAGGTCAAGTCCCTGAATCCTGCGGGCCTCCATTTCTACAAGTGGAAAGGAGGTCATGGCCCACACACAGGCTCTTCAGGCCATGGTGGGAGGCTCGGTGACTGCGCGGTGGGGGAGTGGCGGAGTGGGAGGCGCTGCCAATCATCACACCTGCCTTCGCCCAGACCAGGTCCTGCCGGCCTCCTTTGCTGCCCGACAGCCCCTCCAGCTCCCTGCCATTGCCAGGGTGGGAGGAGAGGGAAGGGCCCCGTCCTGAGCCCCGAGACAGGGTCCTCGCTGCGGCAGGCGCCACTCCCCAGCCTCACAGAAGACAGATCGCTCCCTTAATCACTCTGGAAAAGAACCCCAAGCCGATATAATATTATAATTAATTAATTCACTAAAAAGGTATTAAATTTCTCTCCCCCCTGTGGATATTATCTGAATTCATTGACCTTTAGAAAAATCACCCTCTAATTGTAACCAGGTCCAAAAGCATTTGCAGCCCGTCCCTTTTACATTAATAATATCTTCCCGGACTCGGCTCTGGCTGCTTAAATATTGTATAAATTCCACTGCCCCCCTCGGAAAAGAGAGAGCAAAGAAAAAAGATGAGGCTGGAGGAGCCTGAGCTGGGGCTGGGGGTGGACCCAGAGAAATGGGGGTCCCAGGAGGTGAGGGACGGGGGTGAATTGAAGGGGCTCTTTCTAGCTGCTCCAGCTGACATGCCAGGTGGCTTGGAGGGGCCCAGGAGGGGAACGGGCTCTGAGATGGGGAACGGGGCATGAGTTGGGAGCAGGAGTGTTAAACTGCGGTTCATTTTCAGGAGGCTGGGAGGGCAGGTGGATAAGATCCAAAGTGTGTAGCAGACTCTCATCCAAGTCCACGGCTCCAAACAGTGAAGGCAGAACTCTGATTTAAAGGTACGGTGGGTGATGGAATCTTGTGAAAGTCCGAGGAGGACATTCTGAGGGCCTGCTTCTCCCCTCCCAGGCTTCGCTCCAGTGCCAGCCTTCCGGACCGCCCTGTTCTACAGACGGTGGGGCAGGCCTCAGAGGAGATGCGGTTGGACATCCAGAACTTCCTAACGCTGATGAGGTAGGTACTAAGGAACAAAGAGCCAGTGCCACCCCCGGCCTGGCCTCAGCAGGGCCCACAGTCCACTCTTGGTCTTCTGTCCAAACAAGCAGAAGGGGAAATGTGCCCCGGAAAGCAGGGGTGGGAAGCCATCTTCCTGTGTGTACACACCGGTGAATGCGTCTACCTTACTCTGTGGGCCTCGGATCCCAACTGCCTCAAGGTGCAAAGAGGCGAGAAGCTGGCAGCAGGTGGGGAGAGACAGACAGAGGGAGTGGAGCTGAGGATGGCAGATTCTCACTCCGAGCACTCTGGCTCCTGCTTTGGAGCCCCACGTGGCACCCACTGGAGCTACAGCTGCTTGTCCTCCCCCCACCTAGCTTGGACCCCTATCCCAGAGCCCACTCCCTTTTCACACCTTTGCTTGTTCTCAAAGCCTTGGGGGCTTCCTCAGTGAAATGAGGGGGTTGGACAGGTCCATCTCTGCTTTCACACCAGCCCAGCCTACCCACTCTACCTTTTTAAAAATAACTTTTCCCTCATGGACCTGATGTGTGGAAAGGTGTTGTCTAGCAAATAAAGAGCACAGATGAAGAATGCACTCCCTTCTTCTTTAATGAGATGCTCATAACCACCAGTCGGAAGCTGTCGGCCCCACCCCATTCCAGCCACAAGCTAACTAATGGTCATGCAGACCAGTCTCAGACACTCACACTTTCTGTAGCTTGTTGAAATGCTGGAGGTCGTACCTGTGCCTGCCTTAACCAACCTGGTAGGACAGCAGGGTCCCCAGGCAGAACTTGGAAGGCACAATTAAGCTGCGACTCCCCGACCCCGACCAGCTGCCGGCTCCCGGCCCTGTGGCACCCTCTGGTGGGTGGAACCCCACTGACACCCTCAGTCCCGCCCAATGGGCCATCCAAGCTGCTTCCCGAGCTGCAGGTGGTGGCCAGGCTGAAGGAACCCAGGGGGCAGGAGGCCAGCAGGCTGGTGGACGGGGGTGATGTGGTGGTCTTGAGGGGCTGCCTGAGGAAGCAAGTGGGCAGCTCTCCACTCCACTGAGTCCCCAGGATGAAAGAGAAGAACAAATGGGGTAGGAGAGAGTTCTCAATGGCCTGACTGACCCCCACCCCCTCCCGTGCCACCACAGCCCTAGGTTGGACCCATCAGGTATCTCTCAGCCAGAGACCAGGGCTTGCCCCAGGCAGGTCCCAGGCAGTGGGGTGGGGCCTGGAGCTGGAAGGAGGTGCCAGCTGGCTCAAACTGCCCAAGGTCATCACAGCTTCATCTGACCTTGAGATAATCCCGCAGCCTCCGCCAGCCCAGCCTCCATCAGCGCCCACGCGCCCGGCCCCCTTTCCTTCTCTCCCCTCACGCGTTAATTGCTCCAACGCTGATTTGATCTCCCATTCTGCACAGAGGAAATTGCCCTCTTAGCCATTTTCATCCTAGGATTTCTTTATTTTTTTAATTAGGCCCCTTGGCCTCTCAGGGCCCCAGGAGGGGGAAGCCATTTCGGTCTCTGGGAGTCGAGGGAGAACTACGTAAAGCCCCAAAAGACCCTCACCCCCCAGGCAGCTGGGGCTCACGAAGCTTCCACTCACTGCCCCAAGCCCATATCCCCATCCTGGATGAGGTCATACAATCCCAGGATCTTGGAGCAGAGGCCCTTGGAACTACTGTGCAGTGGAGGAACGAAGCCCAGAGGAAAGTGGCCTCACCGCGGGACAGCCCGGAGGAGCGGGGAGTAGAACCCGCATCCCTGGCATCCTGCATCCTGTGCTCCTGCCTCCTCCCCAGCTAGTTCATGCAGGTCCCTCTCTCCCCGAATCCATGGAAGCGCGCAACCTCTCAGTCACAAGGGAGCCTGTCCTGCTGGAGACACTAAGTCAGAGAGCAGACTGCTGCCCTTGCCTCCACAGAGCATGCAGCTCCACCTTCTCCAGCGTGGTCTCAGCCCCCCTAGGGAGAGGGAAGAATCTGGAGAGGTTGTCGCTAGAACTGGGGGCAGGGAACAGGAGAAATATGCGCCCCACCCCCGGCCAGGGCTGACCTGGGCCAACGGTGTCCAAAAGCAGCAGCTAAGAACAGTAACTTGGTTTATGAGCAATCGGGTACCCCACGTCATCGGGCCCAGCGTCTCAAGCCACAGCTGGAGGTGTGAGACCGGCGTGGCTGCAGTGCCATCTTGTGGCCCTGAGGAGGGACAATGCCCCTGTCAGCACCCAAGCCCCCTAAGTCAGGCCACTTCTCCAGCTTCCCATGGCAGGGCTGGGGAGGCGGGGGAAACCAGGCGAAGGGCTTGTTTCCTCCTCTCTGTATCCCCCTACCCTGACCCCCATCGGGGGCATTCAAACTCTGATTCCAGAAAGGAGCCCGCTGGCTTGAATCCTCCCTTATTCTCTGTCAGCCCCAGACCCACTCCAAAGAGACAGGACAAGCGGGTACAAAGCACAGTGTTTACTAAAGGCACAAAGTGGGGATCCTGGAGGGGAGCTGCTCGTCCAGCAGGCACCCCACACTCTAACCTGAACCCAGCGCCCCCTCTTCCGGCCACCCCCTACCCTCACACCGCCTGGTGGAGAGCTGTTAGCACCAAAGGGGGGTGGGAGTGCCCCACCTGTATGAGGGGGGAGTGCGAGGCCGGAGGATGGGCTTGTTGCCATCTGAGTCCAGCAAGGCAGGCCTGGGCACCCCCGGGACCAGTCGCTGCCTCGGAGAAGGAGCTTTCTGAACCCCCTGCTCCAACATGTCCTCCTTCATCGGTGGGGGGTGGGGGGGTCAGGCTCAGAAGACAGAACCCTCCCAGGGCCTCTTCTCACCTCTAGCACACCCTGTCCCCTCCCTTCTCCGCCTGATTTCACCTCTGGGAGCTGGGTTGAAGGCCTGTTCCTGCCCAGCCCATCCAGAGGGCTGCCCCTGGGGAGTACTGAGCCAGGTGGGGGGCTTCTCCTGACCCCACGGGCTGCCAAGCAGGCACTAAGTCCAAACAGGGGGCCGGCGGGGAGGAGTGAGGCAGGGCAGGTGGCTACTTCACACACAAGTGCAGCCTGAAGGGTGGGAGGGAGGTGGCCCTGCCCTCCCAGCCCCCAGGCCTGCCCCTGTTCCCCGACGTGGGGATAGCCAGGGTCACAGCACATCGCCCTCCTCCATGCTGAAGCTGCTCCGGCGGCTGCTGGCCTTGGAGGCCTCAGGGGACATGGTGGAGAAGAGGGGGTCAGAGGCCAGTGGAAGCAGTGAGTCATCCAGGAGCATGAGGTCCAGATCCTTCTTGGACAGGTTGGGGAACAGGGAGCCATGCTCTGGCCCCAGAGGTTCGGGGTAGCCTGGGGGCCCTTCATCGCCCCCGTCCCCAAAGCTCAGGCTGTGGCTGAAGTCCAGGTGGTGGAATGAGGACGGTGGCTGGGGTGGCTGGGCTGGTGGGGGCAGCGGGGCCTGGGGGGGCAGAGCCGGCAGTGGCTCAGGGTCGGGGACCTCGGCCCCCAGCAGCAGGGCCTCCCCTGGGCCCTCCTCGCTGGGCAGCTCCTGCTTCACCACCTGCTGGGCCAGCTCGGCCATGTTCATGCCCGATGGAGAGGTGGTGGGGAGGCCATGCACTCGAGCCTGCATCTCCAGCTCCTGTGGGTAGGGCAGACAGAGGGCTGGGGGCACACACCCATGTGCACCAGCTGCCCCCCTGGACCCCCACTTGAGCCTGGGCCCCTCCCGTGTGGCACCCAAGACCAAAAACTGTCTTAGCTGGAAGGAAGCATAGGGTAGCTCTCGAGTCTAGACCAGTGTTTTTTCAAACTACAAGTCGCAACTCATTAGTGGGTTGTAAAACCACTGCGGTGAGTCTTGACCAGCTCTCTCTCTCTTTTTTTTAATTGAAATAGACTTGCCTAGACTAGACTAGAATAGAAATTATCAGAATGCATTGCATCTATTAAGGATGAGGGTTCTTTCATGAAACTTTGATTTTTCACTTTGAGTATGGCCATGTGTGCTGGATTGTAATGTAAATTGTATTATCTCCTATGAGAAATAGAAAAGTTGAAAAGCTTCAGTCCAATCGCCCTTGGTGTAGATGATCAGGCTTGGGTCCAAAGAGGACAGAGGCCGTCCACACAGAGCCAGGACGAGAACCCGCGCTCCAGGTAATTGACTCCCCCAAGCCTTCGCTCTTTAGTTGGCCCCCGTGATGATTCTTAGCACCATCCACCAAACAGTCCCAGCTCTCTGCCTCCCACACATGGGGGTCAGCACTTTCCTGCCCCACTTGAGGTTAGGTGTAGATATGTACTTGCATTGATGAAGGAAATGTGTGCAGAAGCGACACAGGTCACTTAAGAGTGATACATGGCTTTAGGAGCCAGATCTAGATGTGCCTGTCCATCAGCCTGGGTCCCAGAGTGAGCATCTCACAGGACAGTACCTCCAGCTGATATCTGTTGCTTAAAGGGGCCGGGGACTGTTTGTTACCAAACTATGACATCCTGACTGACACAGCCTCCTTCCTCATGGGCGTCATTCCCATGTCCCCAACTTCAGAGTGTAAGCATTGCCCCTGGGGTCAGGAGCCAGGCCAGGGGTCAGGGGTTAGAGCTACCCAAGAAGTCCAATTGCAGGGGCCAGACCTGGATGCGGAGCCAGAGCTGCTTGTTGGTCATCTCCAGGCGCCGAGAGTGGTTCTCAAGCTCCCGGGACTTCTGCAGGTCCTTCTGCATCCGCCGGATGTAATCAACAGAGGCCTTGAGGATGGTGCCCTTGTTCCAGCGCACGTCCCTGCAGGCAGCGCGGAATCAGAGGTGCACGCTCAGAGGAGCGGCCAGGTATTTGCCTTGAGCTCAGTGGGTGGAGGTCAAACCCTGCTCTAGTTTCAGAAGCCTGTGTTGTCCATCCCAGCTTTGCCCACAAACCGCAGCCCTGGCCATCCCCTATTTATGGAGGAGGCTGATCTCCATCTGCAGAGACCAGGCCCTCCCAGGTGACTTCATTGCCACAGCCCAGCTCACTAATACCAGGGAACCAAGCAATTCGGAGCAGCCTCCTTCCCCAGGCCTTCCATGCCTGCCGCCAAACCCACGCCTGCCCTGGCCTCTCACTGCTTCTACCCTCGGACCACCTCTACACCAGTCCAAGGACTCACGTGACTCCTCCTCCAGGAAGCCCCCCAGCCCCAGCCCCACTTCCAGGACATCTGCTCCTCTGTCTTGAGCTTTCCTGATTTGGCAATAGGCAATAACTCCTAGAAGGCTGCAATCAAGGGATTCTCTTCCTGTCCCTCCCCACTGGCCCGAGCTCAGGGGCTGGGTACAGATAATACCTGTCAGCTGCTACCCGCCCAGCCCCTGCCCTTCCCCCTAGAAACCCGCTCACAGGTCGTTGGCCTTGGGGATCAGCATTCCTAACTCCTTGATGCGGTCGTTGATGTTGAACCTCCGCCTCCTTTCAACTGCAGTGAACAGATTGCGGAGGGTGCATTTAGAGGGATGGGGACCCCACCTGGGGAGAAGGCCCCAGCCCAAGGAAGGCGCCCCAGCCCTTCTGGGAAGTAATGGGTGACCAACGTGACCAACAGGTTGGGATTTCTACAGGGGTGAGGGGGCCAGGGCGCAGGCCAGACGCAGTTCAGGGGCCCTGGTCAGGCTGTTAGCACAGCACAGCTGCCTGGGGCAGGACTCCTCCCGCTGCCCAGAGTTCCTCCCCAGGGGCTCCCAGGTTCCACGCCCTAAGAAAACAATCTGATAAACTCATTCCCTCTGAGGCCTGGGGATTTCATGACTATCTCTTCCCTGGAGCCCCCTCTCCCACCCCCTCCTAAAGAGGGCTGGTGGAAAGACAGCAGGGCTGAGCCGCAGGAGTGGGAGGATCTAAGTAAGGCTGGGTAGCAAGCCTTCCTAGAACCTGTGCAGGGCAGGGTCCAGGAGAGAGGGAGGCAGGGCGAGGCAGGGCGAGGGGGCTGGCGGGACTCACTCAGGTTGTGATTGTCTTTCTTCTGCCGCTCCTTGGCCAGGGCCCTGCTCTCAGCATCTGGAGGCCAGGGAAGAAGGAGAGAGGAGCTGGGAGGGAGGCAGAGGAGGAGGGAAGCCGGGGCCGCAGGGAGGCAGGGAGACGGTACCTGTAAGCTCTCGCTTCTGGGTCAGGTCCGCGGGGCAGGAGCTGCTGGTGACGCCCACCAGGGAGGCTGTGACCTGGGGGTCACCACTGTATACGTTCAGGTGGCTGCTGGACAGGGGCAGCTGTGGGGTGAGGTGGGGAGAGGAATGCAGTGAGCAGCCTTCTCTCTGTGAGGGGCCCTCCCCAGGGCCCATCGTCCCAGGAACAGCTGTTCCCAGAGATCCCTGGCGGGGGGAAGCTGTACTGGTGCCTCCTGGGCGGCAGTGTCAGCTTTAAGGGGTCTGCAGCCAGCACCAGGGATGTCAAATTCACCCTGGGCCTCTTCACCCAGCAATTCCACCTGAAAGCCTGCAGAGTCCAGAGCTGAATAAGGTGCAGCCCCTGCCCTCAGGGAACAACCAGCCTAGAGGGGCTGGAAGCACCGAGAGGGCGATCAGACCAGTGATAGTGCGCTGGGAGGATTACACCCTAGGCCTGGGAGCCCAGGGGAGGGGCACCTAATCTATTTTAGAGTTTCTGGAAGGTTTCCAGAGGGCGTGGAACTTGAATTAATTCCTGGCAAAGATGCGAGGAAGGGCACAGGCAGGGCAGATGGCCAAGCAAGAAGGCGGCTGCGCAGAGCGTGGCAGGCACAAGCAGCTCAAGCTGCAGAAGCACAGGGTGAAGCGGGCAGGGCAGGAGGAGCGCTGGCTCCTGCAGTGCCCGGTTCAACTTGCAAAGACCCTGGGATTTTGCGATGAGCAGCCAGTGGGGGTTTAACCAAGGACAGATTTGAACTCTGGAAAGATCTCCCCAGCTCCTGCCACAGAAAGACACAGAGGCAGTCACAGGCCCAGACCCCTACATGGTTCACAGGCATCTTACAGGGTACACGGAAGCCACAAAAAGGACCAAACACTCGTGCCCGCCCGCACCCTCTCTCCCTTCCCAGCCCTCGCCATTGACAGGTTTCAGGCTCAACTGGCCCTTGCCAGCTCCTGGGGGCCACTGGGCAATGTCACCAGGGCAGTGGGGATTGAGGATTGATTCCTTGCCTTCCCACCACAAGAACTGGGAACTTCCCATTGGTGGCATGGGTGGGGGCCGAGCTTAGGGTAACAGGCTCAGGCCCAAGGGGCAGAAGTGAGCAGCTGAGGTTCTAGACCTCCAAAAAAGGGGAGGGGGCACCCACAATTCCACCTGCTCAATGTAAATACCTGTCACCCTTGCACAATGCTTGCTTGCCCACAATTTCTCGCCTTATCTAATCTTCCCACAATCCTGTGGGTAGAAGGCAAATCCCCATTTTTGCAGCTGAGAAAACTGGGGCTTAGAATGGTTGAGGGACTTCCCAGGGTCATAACCAAAGCCAGAAGCCCGGCCTCTTGATTCCAAGCCTGGCTCCTTCCCACCAGCCACCTCATCTCTGCCCAGTAGGCCCAGAGAGCATTCATGCTTCCAGGAAGCTGCCAGAGGGAGGAGACTAAGCCAGCCCCATATCACTCGCCCCAGGGAGTGAGGGACACAGGCCTGTGCCCACTGGGCCCTGGGCTGGGTAGAGGAGGAGAGCCCCAGATCCCAAAGGAACTCATCAGCTCCAGGCCTTCCTGTGGCCATGCTGCTCCCTGCCAGGAATGCTCTTCCGCCTGCCCTGCGCTGAGGCCCAGCAGCAGAGCCTCCTACCCCAGCCCCATCCAGGAAGCCTTCCCCGACTGCCCAGCCACCTGTGCCCCTGAAGCCCTATCATGTGCGCAGGCTGAGGAACATCTCTCCGGATCCATGATTCTGCTTGGCCCTGGGCCCTCGCCACATGATTTGATGGAGGCGACTTTCATTTCTGCAGTGAGATGCCAGCTCTGCCCAGGTGAGGACCCGTCTCTAGCTCTCTCCAGGCTCAGAGCCACTGTAGGACCTCTGTCCCCTCCCTCTGACCCACCCACCCCACCCTGGCCAGCAGTACCGTGTTGGGCATCTGAGTTTCAGGATTGATGAAGCCCAGGACATTGTCCAGACACATAATGTTGTCGATGACATCAAACTGAAAGAGAGAAAAGTTGTCTGGGGAGGGCCCACCGGGAAAAGGACAAGGGGAAGAGGCACAGGGACAGCCACTGACCTGAAGGGATCTTAGAGCCCACCTCACCCGACCTGCTCATCGGGGGAGAAGGAAATAGACCCAGAGAGAGGATGGGCTGTCTAGGTCCCACAGGCCCGAAGTCCCAGGCCGGAGCTCTTCCCAAGGAGCCAAGGTGCCCAGGGAGGTGGCTTTATGTGCCTTCTGTGTGGACACAGCTCTGCAGTGTGTGGGGCTTTCCTGTATGAGTCTCCTGTTTCTCTCTAGCAGAGCTATCGAAAGTAGGGATGATGTTTCTCCTGTGAGACCAGGGCTCCCTGAGGACAGGGCAGTGTCTCCTCCCTCAGACTGGGACTCCCTGAGAGCGGGGCCGTGTCTCCCATTAGACTGGGACCCCCGGAGGGCAGGACTGTGTCTCCCCTCAGACTGGGCTCCCTGAGGACAAAGCCGTGTCCCCCCTCAGACTGGGCTCCCTGAGGGCAGGGCTGTGTCTCCTGTCAGACTATGATCCCAAGGGCAGCACCTCGCCTCCGCCATCAGACTGGCTGTCCCAGCAGCATACAACTGGCCCTGGCTCTGCTGGCGGCAGCCCCTGGCCAGCGGCACTCACCTCCCTCTCCGGGTTGGAGCCGATGTGCAGCATGGCCATAGGGCTGTTGGGGGCGCTGTTGCCAGCGGAGGAGGACAGCACGTGGCCTGGCCGCACCCCTGGGGAGGCGGCGGGCAGGGGCTTCGGGGAGCCCTGGGCCGGGCTGATGTGCGCAGCGAACTTGTTCCCGTAGGTCTCGGACATGTACTCCCGCACCTTCTGGTCCCGGGACTGCTGCAGGTGGTAGGAGGTGGGGTTCTCCAGGTAGGACTGCACCTGGGTGGGGGAGAAGACAAGGGCTCTAGGGGGTCCTGGGAGCAGGACGGGGCAGGGGGACAGGCTGGAGCAGGCCCTACCTTCAGCACCTCCCCGGGCACCGGTGGCGGAGACTGGAAGTGGACAGGCGTGTTGATGGCCGGGGTAGGTGGTCCCCCCAGCTGCTGCTGCTGCTGTTGCTGCTGCTGCTGCATGTAATGCATGACGGCCTGCTGCTGCATGCGCTCCCGCTGCTCCTCCTGCTGCGCCTGCTCCCGCATGAGCTGCATGCGCAGCCCGATGCGCGACGCCATGGCGGCTGCCGGAGCTGGCTCCCTGTGGACGGGGGACAGGTCTGTGAGGCATGTGTCCTCTTCAAAGCACTGGGTCTTGGGGAGGGGCCAGGACGAGGGGCATCACGCCCAGCATGGAGCAGAAAACACTGAGGCCCAGAGAGGGGAAGGGAATTGCCCAAGGTCATCAAGCAAGTGGGTGAGAGAGCTGAGACTTGAATCCAAGTTTCCTGTTCCTGGGCCAGAAACGGAGACTCCCTCTCCTCCATCCATTGCAGTTGGTCGGCCCCAAAGGCTTGGAGTCACCCTGGGCTCCTCTCTTCCTCTCGCACCACATGGTGATCCTGTCAGATCTGACCTCAGGTGCATCCTCCTGTGCCACCACCTTGCTGCCACCAGCGTGGGCCCAGCCTCTACCAGGCCTCCTCTGGATTGCTGAAGGAGCTCCTGATGCCTTGCCTCACAACATTCTCCTCGTAACTCAGTAATTAGAGGGATCCTGTCCAAACCTAAGTCTGATCCTGTCCATCCCTCTGCTCAGAACTCTCCATGGCTTCCCCTTCACTCAGAGTAAAAGTCGGAGTCCTTTCCATATAAGGCCCTCTCTAATCTGTCCCCTCTGACTCCGTCTCCTCCTGCTCTCTCCCTTGTTCCACCCACACCCGAATCCTCAAACACACCAGGCACACTCCTACCTCAGGGCCTTTGCATCTGCTTTTCCCTCTGCCTGGGATACCCTACCCCAGATAGCACCATAGCTCATTCCTTCACTTTCTCCAAGGCTCAAGTGTCCCCTTCTTCCAGAGACCTTCTACGACTCCCAATTTAAAATTGCAAAATGGCCCCCCACTCCATACGCCCCTTCCCTCTTTTATGCTTCTGCATGTCACTTATCACCATCTCACATATCATGCATTTTTGCCTAGTTATTTCACTCATTGTCTATCTCTTCCTCACTAGGAATGCAAACTCCCCTAAGGGTAGGCATTTCGTCTGCCTTGTCCACGCTGTGTCTTCAGCCTCTAGCCCAGGGCCTGGGACACGGCTGATGCTCTATGAATGTACGCAGGGAATGTTTACCATTTAGGAACCGGCCCTGGTGAGACAGCAGCAAGCCACTGTATGCCTGAGCCTGTGGAGTCTACAGTCCAGTGAATGAGAATGGCAAGTCCCCAGGCCATTATAACCTGCTCAGGGAGGGCCAATTCAGGGCACCCAGGCCTGCCAGGGCCCAGGGAGGGCCACCCCCAACCCAGTAAGTCAGCCCTAATCTCTGATAGGTCTCTGTGGGACAGGGGGACTAAGGCCCCCAGGCCTAGTCTGGAAGGAGGGAGGACAGGACAGGATGAGTCCTGGAGCTGGGCCCACTCTGTCCCTAGCTTGCTGTGTGACCCTGAGCACATCCCTTCCCCTCTCTGAGCCTCCATCTCCCCAGGCACAAAATGAAATTGTTGGAGCGGGTGACTTCTAAGGCCCCTCCTATCTAGGATGCGCCGGCTCTCTGAGCGGTGCAGGGCCGCCGGGGGTGCCAGGACTCCATAAAGGTCCTAGCAGGGGCTGGAGGTCCCATCTCGGGGACATCGCAAGAGGCAGTATGACTTCCGGTTGAGCAAGCACTATCAATCGGGGCAGACATGGGCTTGAATCCCAGCTCTGCCACTTCTTTGCTGTGTGACCTTAGGCAAGTCACTTAACCTCTCAGAGCCTCCGTTTCCTCGTCTATAAACAGTTTCTACTTCAGAAGATCGGTGAGAGCGTTAAATGAAAATAACGTGTCTTGCACAGTCCGTGGCACTTGGTAGACTGAGCGGGTGAGTAAGGATAAGCACAAGTCTGGCAGGGTCAGCCGCGGTGTAGACCAGAGGCCAGAGCTGCACCCAGGTCCTAAGAATGAGACCCAGACCTCTGAGGGTGGCACAGGAAAGCAGCACAGGTTGACATGTTCTGCCTGATGCCAGACATCGGCCTAAGTCAGCATTAGCGGAAGGTACTGGCAGATATTCAGTGAAAATCACTGGATCATGGAAATAACAATAATTTGCATCTATTCGAGCATTTACTGTGTACTGGGCATTGTTCCAAGCACTTTAACCTAGAACAGCCCCACTCGGCAGTTTTGGTTATTATTCTCCTATTACAGATAAGGAGAAACAGAGGCACCAGGAGGTTAAAAGGCGGGGACAGAGCTGGGACCCAATCCCAGGCAGCCTGGCTCCCCAGCCCATGCTGGGGGGTTCTGGAGACCACCGTCTCTGTGCAGAGCTGGGAAGGAGCTTGTCTCAGGTGGCGTGTCTGGTGGATGCAGGGCCAGGAGTGGAGCCCAAGCCACCACCGCTCCCTCTAGCACCACAGCTGCTTCCCTACCAAGTGGGACAGCATCATCTGCCCGGAGGTTTGAGTACTGGGTGACCCTTCCCTCCCCATCTGTCCTCCCTTCTCTGACCCCCAGGCCAGGAATTAGCGGAGAGGCCGCCTCAGCCCCAGGGGTCTCTCAACCCAGCTCGCAACAGGACAGTCCCGAGGAGAAAGGAGCAGACGCCCCCTTCTCCACCCTTCTCCGCCCTGTATCAGGGACACAGCTGCACCTCCGCCCCTCTCCCTGCTCTGACAGAAGGTAGCCTGTCTCTGCCCACCCACTGCAGCCCTACAGACCTCAGGGCTCCAACCCCAGCCCAGCCCAGCCCCGTCCCCTCGCAGCTGCATCCCGAACGCACTCACACACACGGCGCTGGGGAGCCTGCCCCCTCGGGAACAATCTCACTTCAAATTGGCCCCTGGAGGGAGGGGGTGGTCATCGGGCCTGGCAGTGCCAGGCAGCCCGGGGAGGGCTTGAGGAGAAGGAGCCCCTTGTTCTCCAACAGAGGGCTGGGGCCCGTCCTGGGCTAGGCTGGAGCTGGCCCTGCGCAAGGAGAGCCTGGGCTGGGCCCTCTTCAGCCTCAATGGCTGCACCAGCCTCAGTTTGCTCCTTTGTGAAATGGACACAGGTGTCCCCGCCCACCACCTGTCTGGGTGAGCCTCCGGGGAGAGGATGTTGGAGAATTGTGAACAGCAAGGTGTCTGTGCATCAGAGTGTCAGTAGCCTTGGTGACTGAGCAGAGTGAGGCTTTCCTGCCCCCACCCCCGTTGTCAAAGCTGTCACCCCCCTCACAGGGCCGCTTCTTCCCACTGCGTCCCAGCCTCCTCCCCTGGCCCCCAGCCTGGGTTGCTCTGAGCTGGCCTGGGCGGGATGGGCTTAAGGGAGGGACATGAGGGGATCTGAGGGTGGATGGGGTGGTGGAGGAGAGACCCTGGGCATGCTAACCACAGACCCCCCCCCCACGCCCCCCGGCACACCTGCTCACCCTCAAAGCCCGAGGGGCCACGCACAGCCTCCCCCAGTGCACAGCCTGGTCAGGAAGAACTGAGAGGAGGGACACAGGGAACCAAAAGGCCCCCGGACCCCTCCCCACCATCTGACCTCCAGACCCCCAGGCCTGGAAAGGGTCCACCATACATGTATTCAGCAATGCTAGGAGCCTCAGTGCCCACTCCGTGCAGACCCTGGGCTAGGGTGTTACCCCGGAGAGACTTCTCCCCTGCCCCCATCCCCAGGTAACACCCTCGTCCTGAGGGGACCAGGGGTCTGACGCCCCAGAGAATTCCCGCCCCTGTCCAGTCGCATGCAAACACGGCAGGGGCTGAAGTGTCAGCTGAGGCAGCGAGAGCTGCCCCCATCTGCACCCTCAGAACCCACAAGTCCCCTCCCACTCTGTCCACCCAGAACCTCCCACCCGACTCTACCTCTGTGCTAAGCTGGGTCCGGTTCTAGTTTAGTTGTGACCAAAATAAGCTTCGCTTTCTCACAGGTTTGGCTTTGAAGCCCCTGCTCTGCCCACACTGGCTGGGTGACTGGGAAAGCCACTTAACCTCTCTGTGCCTTGGTTTCTTCCTGGATAAAATGGAGCCAATAACGGCACCTGCCACACCACGATGTTGGAGGGAGACCGTGAGGAAGCAGAACGCCCTAGCAGGCCCCTGGGCAGTTGATACCAGGCCGACACCGATCTCACCTCCGAAACTGCGCTCCCCTGGTCAGGGCCAGAGCTGGTTTCAGACCGCCTGTGGGGGCCTCCCACCATCAGTCATCTACACCTCAGTGTAAGCAGGCTGGTCAGAACCTCCCCTGAGGGAGGATGTGGACAGAGGGAGGGGGAAGACAGGGAGCAAATCAGTGGACTCCATGCGGGAAAGGCAAGGAGAAAGAGGACCCCAGAACAGGAAAGTCTCAGATATAAGAAAGAAGATCTCAAAGACAGAGCATCAAGTGGAAAAAGCAAACTGCAGAATAAAACATACGGCCCAAGCCCATTTAGGCAGGAAATGGGCAAATGTGTAGAAAAGACTAGAAGGATCCGAATGCCCCTTTGAATGCTTGCCACGAGTCAGGGCTGGCCTATGTGCTTTTCAAATATTGACTCATGTATTCTTCACAACAACCCTATGAGGTGACTACTATTATTGCCCCTAATTTTCAGGGAGAAACTGAGGCACAGAGAGGTAAAATAACTTGCCCAAGATTACACAGATGATAAGTGGCAGAACGGAGATTTGAATGAGGCAGCCTGGTTCAGAGCCCCCATTCTTTATCCACCATTCTGGGCTCCCCCAACATCCCAAACTGTGTGCAGTGGTTACCTCCAGGGAGGTAGGGAAGAGGCAGTGAAGTGGAAAGGGGAGGAGTTTTTAGAGTTTCTCATTCTACTTTCGAAGCACTTAGCTCTTAGGACATGAATATGTGCTACTTGTGTAATTCTTTTACAACAAAGGGTTTGTGAGGGGCCCAATGTGCTTCCAATCACGTCCAAAGGTGGGGTCCCCCCAGCTGCATCTGGAGTCTGGTCCAAGCCCTGCCCTGCTCAGTGCAATGGTTGTCAGGCCAGTTGATGATCCTGGGTGAGGACACTGAGTGGCCACGAGAGGCACAGGGCCAGGGTCAGAAGCCACATGCCAGTTGGAGCAGGAGGGCCAGGACCCAGGGCCCAACTCCATTTCCACGACAGCCGC